AAACAGAAGTATTGTGATTTAGAGTGAAGTTTGTGTCTGTACACTTGGATTATGAGACAAACTCAGTTTGGGAAGTGGGTGTATTTTCCTGCAATATTGGAACACACTGCTTAAGCTATACATCAGTTTCTCCCATCTCTGTATCACAATCACATGAATTTTCAGATAGTTCAATACTTGTTAACTGTGACTTCGTAACTTCACTATCAGTTTCTATAAACTTAGTCATATTTTCACTTTTTCTGTCTCTACTTCAGGCATTTGAGGATCATGAACTTTATTTCCATGAATTGTTTCTTCACCCTTTTCAGATGCTTTATCAGCCGTTTCTTTTATTTCTTCATCTTTACAAACAGTATTATTACTTTCTTCCATTTCCACTTCAGGCACTTGAAAATCAAAAGCCATTTTTTTTCATCTTTTCATTCTTTTTTCTTTAATCTCGTTAGATATTTCATCCTTCATTTCGTGATCTTTCTCAGACACTTCACCAGCTACTTCCTTCATTTCTTCATCCCTTGATTCTTCAGATGTCACTTCTGTCATTTCTGCATCTTCTGTTTTGGATCTAGTTTCCTCTATTTTTTCCTTCATGTCCAATTCTTTACAAATTCATGTCCAATTCTTCACAATTTAGCTACTTCATGTCCAGTTCTTCACAATTTAGCTTCGATTTCCTCTCTAAGCACCACGATATCATTTCTGATGTTGTTTTGCTTCACTTCCATCTGTTAGAGTTTCTTTGCAGTTTTTCTTGTGTGGCTTTTATATCTTCTTAACCTGATTATATTTTGCTCTCTAACTTTTCTTGTCCGACCTTGATCTCAGCCTTCATTTCTTCTTGCCTGGCTTTCTTCTTGTCCAGCTTTTACAGCTGCTAACAAGTCCATAAAAGCCTTAATTTCCTCCGCCATGGCTTTCTACTGTAGGCGGGTCACTGGCATTCCCCCACAAATTGTACTTCTGACGCCAGTTGTTGCATTCTACAGGTTCGTAGATTTGGGGTAATTGATGATAACACTTGATGAAGAATCAAAACACAATTTATTCACCAGTAAGCACTTTTACACAGGACAGTTCCAAAGACACGTTTACACTTGTCGAAGAACTATGACAAACGTGCTGAAACAATCAGCAACACAGCCTTGAGGATATAATGGTGAAGACAGCTTCACAGCAGAGCACTAAAATACAGCTCCTGACTTGGTCGATCACTCTGAAGCTAATCTCTGAACTCAAGACACTACTGTATGCTACTTTCTCCCTGTACAGGCAGGGTATGTATAGCTTTAACCTACATTCGAGAATATTCTCAAGCAAGTTGCTAAAAATTGTTCTAGAATTTTCTTGCAGCCATCTATGGCATGTCACCAAATGGACGATTTCACACCAAATCTGGCAACCCTGCCTTTCCTTGCCACTTTCTGGCAATCCTAAGCTATCTCACTGCAGCTGGGCATTTCACAACAGTATGGACTTTGTTTTCTGTCTGACTTATATACATATATATCACAGTGTGCTTTCATGCTGACAATAACATTAACTGCACCATGCATCCAGCAATGCGGTCTTCAGGGTAATTATATCTCTAGGAGAAGGAAGTCCCCATGCAACTGCTTTTACAATGTAGGCCTATAAGTTCTCTATTGGGTTAAGATTGGGAGATTCTGCTTCAGTATTCTCTCAGTGTCTTCACTTTCAATGAATTTGTCAATGGGGTTTGCTCAGTGTGGATGAGTATTGTCTATAAATAAAAATCACACCCATGTGCACCTCTAAAAGAGCTCTAAGGTTTCACCCTGATATCTCTTTCTGGTCACTGATTTGCTCTTGAAAATGTTTAAGGACATATGTCCAGTTATTATTCTACCTTATACCATCACACCTGCATTACCAAACCATTGTGTTTCATAATATTCAAAGGAAGATTTCATGTTTCTCTCTACTCCCAGATATAAACATGTTTAGAATCAGATGTTAAATTATCTTGTCTTATCTGTTAAGAGAACATGGAAACGTTCCAGAATTCTGAAATTGTTTCCATAGCATAGTCTATCTGTCTTAAAATATTCTCAGATCTCATTGCTTCCATGATTGTGTGCTGTGCTTCTAAATGGCTTCACAGATTCTTCTGAATAACACTTCAAAGCCATATCAAACTATTTTGAGTCCTTACACAGTGAAATCAAACACTGTATTGCAGAAATTCCCTCAAGTATTCACCTTGTGCGAAACGCTTGTTTCATCATCATATGAGATGTCTCGATTTGCATATCAAAAACTGTTTGAACACTTCTATAATAACACCTCTGGTGCTAATTATTGCTTTGATAAGGAGACAGCATAAAAAGAAACACAGTCTCTTAAAATCATATAGCAGGAGAAAAGAAACAGATAAGTTTAAAGCTAAAGTTCAAGCTCTCAGAGAGGAAGGATAAATACGGTTTGACTTTGTCACAGGCAAATAAATGCACTGACTATGAATGCATTGACTAAGTAGTCATGAGAAAGTATAAAAAGTTCCTATGAGAGAGTGGGTTTTCCTGTCGTTTGGCTTTTTTAGAAAACTGTACGGCGAATCGCCATTGGTTCTGTTGATAAATGAATTACTCAATAGCTGAATAAAAGAAAGAATAATAATAAAAAAATAGTGTTGAGACAAACATGAATTGCCGAATTTCAAGAGGTCAAGCAAGGTAGATGTGTTTCAGTTGAAGTCATAGAAGAAGATTCTAAAAATCCCCAAACCTGTTCCAGTAAAGAACCAGGTGTCTGAGACTCCGAGTCATCAACTTCATCTGCACCCCTAACCAGAATCAAGCTTACAACATTTGCTAGAGTATGCAACAGGTACAGCATTCCTGAAAGGCCTGCTGTAGCCCTCACGCATTATGCAATTTGTGAAGCAGAAGGTGAAAAAATTAAGAAATGTGTAGATTCACTGATCATTGTAGACATGTCTTAGTCATGGTGTATAATATATGATTTCACTAGATGTGACTGCATTTGGAAGAACTGTTGCATAGAAGATGCATTGTGTTCCAATAAATGTTGTCCTGCCAGTGAAATTTGGAGGTTATAGTATAATGATAGTATTATACCTACTTGTTGGTGCTTGGCCTTTTAGCTCTAGAGTGAATTGCTGATATTTACTAAGGCATTTATATGTAAACCTGTTTCCCACATTGTGATTACTATTTGGATTATGTTTTTATTTCAGTAGAATGAATTCTAGAATGAATTGCTGATATTTTCTATACTAAGGCATTTATTTGTAAACCTGTTTCTCACATTATGATTGCTGCTTGGATTAAGTTGTTATTTTAGTATGATAGTGTATATGATTGCTATGTAAGATATGTAACATTATAGTTTAAATATTTGCTGGTAACATTATAGTTTAAATATTGCACTACAGCTCCATTGTGAAGGGGGGTCCGTAAGGGAATAGTTGATGTGTTTGTTCTTTTACTGGCATGTGAAATCAACTATCATTCTCCCATTATTTAACATATAAAATAGGAATAGAAACAAAATTCTCTAGCACTTTTCTAGAATTCAGTAGAGAACTTATTCCAAAAGATAAATTTTAATGTGAGCATTGGTTCTGATTTATTATAAATAACACCACTGTACACTTTGGAAATGGCAGCTAGTGGATGTGTAGTTTTGTTTGGCTACATAGTATAAGTGTGAAATCCGGATGTCCAATAACAAGAATAATTTAATGTTTGGACCTCCCATAGAACTTTGTTTTTTAAAATTTTCCCTTTTTCTCACACAGTTAGGTACAGATAATTTGATACTCAAGCAAGTGTTCCATAAATCAGTTTTTATTCCGATTAGCTGAGGTTCTTTCCCCTGTTCCTAAAAACATCATTATCTGCACTAATATTGGATTATCCTGCATGTTATTTCAGCTTTAAATACCTGCTAGCTAGGGAATCGTATCTTCATTATTGGCTCTTGTATAATTAAGGGGCTTAGGAAGCATTTTTTGTTTAAATTATCTGGTGCACAATAAGTGGACTCTGAAGCCCAGTGTATATTTAGAGTGGAATGTGGTACATACTGGTTTTCTTTTGTTGGCGCAGCTGGGAAGAAAGAGAAAGAATTAGGTTTCAGTTCAACTAGTACAGCTAACTGCACTTTCCCTTTCTAATTGATCCAGCTTATTTTGTTCAGTCTATTATTACTGTTAGTTTTTCAAGATTAATATTTTAGTAAAATCTCATTTTTACTTTTCCCTCAGAACTTCATATCCACCAATCAACCTAAGTATCAGAATTTTACATGCACTGAAATGCAAATGTAGAGTAGCCTTTTAAATATCAATGCAGCTGCTATAGAATTCTTGAAATATATAAACATTAAAACCTGCTATGTAAAACATTGCAAGATCTTGAGAAAACAGGGCTGGAGATATTTTTAAAAGTGCTTGCATAGACATAGACAAAGAAGTATTAAATTAAGAAGAAAGTATTAACACAGAACACATTATTGTGTGAACAACTTATGTTGAAAACATTTTTAATGAAACAGAACAAATGTTGCAATTGATGATTTTTTCCCCCCCTTGTAAATTTTGGTTCTCTGAATATCATAAATGCTTCATTATTTCACAAACAATCTTCCTCTTTTGAATTTTATAATTTCTACACATATTCTTGTTGAAAATCCAGAAATTTCTTAATTCTGAAATCCCGATAATTCTGAATCTAGGACTTCGGGATGAATATGCAATCTTTAGAGTTAATTTTGAGTAGGAAGGTTATTTTTTTAGAATAACATTTCTAGAGGTGCTTTGAATTTCATTCATCATGTTTTGCGTAGGGATTAGAATTTTATGTTCTGTGTTTAGCATTATGTCTATTAATTATTCATAACTATTAGTGAAGAGAAGTTTTTAATATGCTATGTAAATATGTAATAGCTTTAAATAAAAATTTATGCAATAATAGTAGTGTTATGGGTTTTTCATGTGTCATATTTTTATGCAGTGACCTTGAAGGCCTGAGGAAAATTCAAAGACGCAGTCCATTTGAAGACAACCCGCCAATCTATGTTTATCTGCGACGGGATGTTGAAGAAAAGTAAGAAATATGTCTTTTATTTGATAATCCTATATGTTTTTTGTGTTGCATACTTACTATAGTCTGTTACTGTAAAATAGGCACTTCAAGGTCATAAATCCCCATTTTAGGATCCTTACATGTAATTATAATTGCACGGTATTTAATTCTTCACCTCTCATGTCACTGTAGTTCTCATCAGCATTTATTTGCATTCACTAGCGAATGTATGAGTTTCTTTATAAACTTACACATTTGCTGATTATATGCCAAAATTTGCAGCTTGATTTTTGTCCTGGTGTTCAATGAAATTATACTTTTAATTTGGAAAATGATTGACGGAAATTGCTGATTGTGGATCAGGAAATGTGTAATTCAAATTAAATTATTTAGAGTTCTGGAAATATAAAGTGTGGCTTACATCTCCAGTGCCATATAAAATTAGCCCTTGTATCTGCAGAAATGCAGAAGTTGCCCTCAGCAGTCTATCCATAAAGATTGTGAAGAATCTTCTTAAGCAAAAAACTGGCTTTCCAACTGCACATCATTTCTAAAAATTAAGTAGTTTTTAAATTGCTAAATATATTTGCTGTGAAATATTACAGTCAGATGAATGGATGGTTCAGTTAATAGTTATTTGAATTTTATATTTTTTTTAGAAAAAGATGGATTCTGAAAAATTATAATTTCTGAATTTTTTTTCCCCATCTCAAACACTTCTTAATGTGCATGCGGCACAAGTTGAGTAATAGCAAATGCCTCCCACTGTGTAAAAACCTGTCCATTTCTAGCTAAAGATAGAAAAGGACTATTCCCACCTTCACTTTTGTGATTGGAATTGGCACTAAGTTCCCGTACTGTCTAAAGGACATACGAGAAATCATAAACAAAATTATGGATACGGAGCAAAACTTCATAATCTGTAAGTAGCCTTCCAATCTTGTCACTATTTCATAAATGTTTGGTATCTTGGTTCATCTTCTCTAAGTATATCAATTTTTGTATATATAGTACGTATCTTTCTCTTGTATTTTTTTTTTTTTTTTTTTCATTTCTTGTTTTGTATTTTCATATTTGAATGGATGATGAATGAGATCTGGCTAAAGATATTTGTAGGTCAAATTTAATATCTTGTGTATCTTTCAGTCAAATTGGATCTTAATGTGGTGCGCAGACAAACTCCAAAAGATAAATTTAGCCCAATTGTGCTTCAAGTGCTAAAAAGCCACCAGAATCTTTCTGCCTTAGTGAGTTAAATCTTAAGTGCCAAACTTTCAATTTACATCATCACTAGCCAGTTGGCCATTTAGTTTCTCTGTTCCTCCTACCCAGTAAGGAGTTAGATGAAAAGGAGCATTAAATCACAGTTGCTTTAATTAGCAGGATGGTTTTATAAATTTGATTGATTTTCCTCAATTAACAACTGTTATTGTTTTCAGTTTGTGAGAAAATAGTATCTGTCAAAAACAGATGTTGCTATCAATTGATGATGTTAAGATCTAATTGTAAAAATATGTTGCATGAGTGTCATAAGTAAAATTGGTTTCTATGGTAACTCATTAACAAAATTTCTCATTTTTTGTGTATGCCGTCATCTTCCATGAAAACTAAAATCAAATAGTAATGATGTAATTTTACTCTGATACATAGATTACAAGTCTGTGTGTATATTTCTTATTCCCTTTCTTTTAAAGGGTATTTAAAACAAAATTCATTTTTACATTGTTATTTTAAGAACAGTTGTGAAATAGTGGTCTGATTTTTCTTTTAAGAAATTTTAAAGATAAACTCTTCCTCAAGATATAAGACTGCAATCTGCTACTTTTAGGTTACAAGATATAAAAATTTTTGAAAAATCCATTTATAAAATTGCTAGATTTACTAAAATTTAATTTCTAAAGTTTCTTGCAGGATTTGATAACTTGTAAAATCTAAATTATTTCTGTTATTTCCTTTTGCCCTTTTTGTTTTTTTAAACTTTTGCTTCATGTATGAACTTTTAAATGCCCCTATATAATGAAAAGAACTCAAAATTGATTATTTTGTTCTTCAGAAAATCATGGACTTTGAATGAGGAGAAAATTAGGGGACGCGAAAATCTTTCATCAGAACTGTTGCCATGGTTATGAAGGCAAGACTGTGGTTGGGGGGATTGACCTTAAGGCAACTATTCTCTAAAGTAACAGATTATAGACATGTATTTTTTAAAGACTAAGTTATGTGAGATGTTGATATTTTATAACAGTTGATATAAATTGTTTAATTCTAGTTTTGAGAAGATTATGTCTTATGTGTCATATTTGATTTCTAATCATTTTTGGGATAAAAAAGATTAGGTTTCTGTCAAAGGTTGTGAGCCAAGAGTAAAATACTGTGGTGCATGTGACACTTCTCAGGACAGAATCTCGAGCTGTAATTACTGCTGGATGCATCTCAAAGCTAATATCGTAGGTCTAAACAGTACTGCACATATATAAGGATATTTGAGGATAATTGTTGTTATGGTATTGGAGAAAAAATGTGCATAAATTAATAGTAAGGGAATATTAATATTTCTAAGAATTCTTCCTGCTAATTCTTATCTCTAAGGAAAGAGTGTCGTGTTTTCTTTTTAAAATTGACATAAAAGTAAAGCATTGTTATATTACGGAGATTATTTTGTACTTAATTTGTCAGTGAAATTATGAAAATTTCTTAAAATGGGTCATTGAATGTATCTTAATTTAACTCCTGTAACCTTTGCAATTTGTTAATTCATTTTTGATTTCAGCTGTAAGCAGTAGTTTATAGTTCAACTAGAATTGTAAGTGTATTTTCATAAATGAATAGAAGAAAGCATAAAATTGTATATACTATACAATACTTATGTAGGGTAATCTAATAAGAAATTTGTAGTCATGTAATGTTTAATTATTTTGTTTGTCTCATTGGACAATGTTTATAAAATATATAAATGTATGGCTGAATGGATAAGCTTGCTGAACAATGGTTATTCATCTTGGTGTGGTTCCCTGCAGATGGGTTGACTGCATGGAGTTTTCATACTTTTTCCACATGCTATGTGAATTTGAACCAATTTTCCTTAGAAAGTCATCCATGAATCCTAAATCAGATAGCCCTTGCATATTTTGCCATAATCAACCAACTAGTTTATCATAATAAACTTTTTCCTTTTAGTGCTAGTGGCTGCATGGGCATTTTCGTGGTTTTCCCCATGTGTAACGTGTATACAAGCCAGTTTCCCTTAGAAAGTCCTCCATGAAGGCATCCCTCCCTTTAGGCAGATAGCCCTCATGTGCTTTGCCATAATTAAATAATCCAATTCAATCCTTTTAGTGCTAGTCTATAGCAAACAAATTTTACAGTTTTGGTATGATCTGTAAGGATTGTATTCTGCCTGCTAGACTGTAATGTCAAGACATACAGATCAAATAGAGTCTCCTGAATAATGGATGCATATTCTACACAAGTCTACATGCACACCAATCATAGACTATGTAAGAGATGTCATATTCTTTTAAAAAATAAGATCTCTCTGAATGATCTTATCATTTACTTGGAAGTAAAGAATTTAATACTCTAAATTTTTTTCTAGTTTGTTATGTCTGTTACTTCCTTGTCAGTGTTTTTATTCATTTAGATATTCTGGATCTGTGCCAGATGACTAGAATGGAGGAATTGAAGAAATGTTACAGAATTTTCAGCAAAAACAGTTTTAGTCAAAGCTGAAAAATTTACTAGAAGTATGACGTTGCATAATCAGAAAGTAATTTGTATTTTAGAGCGATATGGAACTCTAAATAAAATCAGCAGCAGATGGACAGTATGATCTGAGTTGATACATTTCCTTTACTTTTGAAAGCAGGATACTAGCCATTTTAAAGTTAATCAGCCTGTAATTTACTGCAATTCTGACACTTCTAGAAACTACCAACAGCTGAATGTATAAGGCATTCTAGTGTCCTAAACTGAATGCTAGCATGTGGATTTTTCCTCCTTTTCTTCTTGTATAACTAGAATTTATGATTAGTTTGTCTTAGAAAGTCCTCCAGGAATGCATTTCTCCTGAAGTCAGTAGCTCTTGTGAGCTTTGCAGTTATAAATTTTCTCTGAATCATCAACAGAATGTGCTTATAAAGCATAGGAAATTTCTCCAGTTTCACCCTTAAAATGCTGTATAAGGATCCGCGCTCTTTTTGTCTAAAGTAGTGCTGTAGAAGTAACGAGAAATTGTGTACCCGTATGTATTCGTTACTCGGTGAACCAGTACTCTTTACTATTGTATTGTTACTTGTTACTTTCGGTAAAATCGATCGGTATCCGTATTCTGAGCCTATTGTATCGGTCTATGGCCCTAAAAAGGGCCTTGAAACGTCGCATCGCATTGAATCATGCGAGTTATTCTACCCCGCGGGAACTGCGATAGGGAGTTTTGCGTTGCATTTTTGGGTAGAAATAATTCACTTTATTTTGGCTATTATTTTTTGGTGCACTCTATATGATTCATTATTAAATTTTCTATTGCTGTCAGGGCTTAGTTTCTAAAGTCAAAAGTGCCTACGGAAGGCTGTCAGGAAAATAGGAAAGAATAAAATAATAAAGAAATAAATGAAATAAATATTACAACAATAACATTAATTAGTAATTAAAATAATAAAAAATTACGTATTAAAAAACTTAATAATTAAAATAATAAAATAGTGATTAAAATAATGAATAATTAAAGTACATAATAATTAGCAACTGAAATATAAATACTTATAAGAAAAATTTAATAAAAATGTAAAAACATAAAAATTAAAATAATTTTAAAATTTATGATGACTAGTTAAATAATAAAGTAAAATACCAGATTTTGTCTTATTGGCTTAGTACCGCTTCGTCCTTTCTCATTTCATCTTCAGCTCGAAAAAGGGTCATTTCGTTCACTGCCTTCTCCCACCAATTCCCTCTTTCCGGTTTCATCCGCTGTTTGAAAAATAGGTGTTTACTTTACGATAACGCGAACGTCTGTTCACTTC